ACTTGTTGCGTTTCAACATTTAACTCTGGCACTGACTTATTGCCTCCCGTTGCTCCTCCACTATATAAATCTTAATGAACCTTAATTCGGAAAGTGAACGAATTTTTGCAGTTATATTTGCGAACCGTGCTCACTCTGGCTCATTAACTTTGTATTTTGCAGTCGTCTAAATTATTTTATAGAGATCGTAAAAAAATATTCTATAGTTTTAAAAATGGTTATACCTATTTACTGCATTTTTGTAGTTCAAGATCCTGAAATTTAACTAATACTTTTTTTTCTAAAACCTCATCAAGGTTTTAAGGTCTTAAGGACTTTAAAACCTTCAAAAGTTAAATAAATTTATTATTTGCTGGTATAAAATGCATTAATGTATTTTTTTTGGAATTGAAACACCCTGTGGGATATTTTAATACAGCCAAGAATTTAAAAATCGTTTGATCGTTTAGGTAATTCTTTCTCAATAATTTATTTTTTGGTTCATCTCAACCATCTCTGTATTTTCTGGAGATATTCGCTTTTGAAAAAGAAACTAACATTTTGTCGTAATGTTTACATTAAAACCACGCCCTTGCTTTCGGTCCTAGTAAACAGACCTAGTAGTAAGTTGTGGTCTAAAGAAACCTATATCTCTTTATCACTTCCCACCAAGCAAAAATTTATGATTATTTAACGTTACTTATCAACAAAGACAAACTAACAATTCCATTCTGCGTGATTCTACAAACTTATTTCACTTATTTTTAAATTACTAAAAACAGCCATCTGAATATTTTATCAATTTTAAAAACTTTAGCTGTAACAAGCCCGTTATAATTCGTTGCAGTATTATAATATTTCGCTCTAATTACACGATACGTAAAGTCACACAATTACACACCGAGTAAAGAAAGGTTTATTGCCGATGTTAAACGCCTGTTTGCATTCCTATAAGCACATAAGCTAAAGCAAATGATATATAATTGACATGGGGGTGTTTGATTCGCAACTAGTTAGGTTTGACATGAATTCGAAATGCTCGCCTGATATTAGATCAACATTATTTCAAGGAAATTAGACGCTCTTCGGGATTGATGGCCCTTAACCCGCTTCCATGCGTTTGAGAGGTGAAATAGCATAGAGCCGTTTTCCAGTTTAGCAGTACCTAAATCAATAAATATATAGTATATTATAATTTTAGAAAGCTCATAACAAGGCAAATAAAATAAAAAATAATATGTAGAGTGTCCTGTTTAAAAAAAAGAACATAAGTTTGAATCATTTTTCGAAATAGGCAGCCCCCAACCAAGAACCACTTTCGTCACTGCCATTCTACCTGAAAAACGAGACACGGACGGTGGGTAAGTACTCAATGGGTAGAACAAAACAAAAGCAGGGTATCCAGTATATACCTGTACATTTAGATGAACAGTCTAATTTTATAAAAGGTATTTCCAACGACCGCATAGTAAATACTTGGTATAATACCAGTAATATCAGAAATACGAGTATATCTACAATATTTCTTATATATATTGTAGATATCATATATTGGTATATTTCTATTCCCGGTATTATACCGGGTATTTACTATGCGGTCGTCGGAAACTCCTTTTATTAAAATTAGGATGTTCATCTAAATCTACAGGTATATACATATATACCCAGATTTTATTTATCTACAAATTGGGTACTTACCCACCGCCCATCACTGACCCTTTTCACCTTTTCGATAAGTTATAAGATAATCGAGATACAAAGGTTATCGAAAAATGCAAAAATTTCTACTAATTAAAAAATAAAAAATTAAAGAAAGAAATAAGAAATAACTTTGAACTAAGAAGGCTAGGATAAATATGTGTGTAGCATATTTAGTTTCATAATAAGTAGAACAATGATGTGAAAACAGCATCTTTATATCTCTACTCATAAACCAGAAACCCCATAAAACACACAAAAATGGGACATCCTATACATCTAGCAATCGCCAGTCGATATAAAAATAATTCACACACAATAATCTAAAAAATGGAAGAAAAAAACAATATTGTCTTCATATTTGTGAAAAAATACATGTCCATATTTATATAATCGTAGCGACAAAAATAAAAAAATAGAAATAGTGTGCATGATGCCTTTACAAAAATATCTGAAGAAATGGGGATTGACATCATTAACGTTTAATTAGTATGTCATATTTCATGGTTTCGATATAAATTACATAATAAAGTTTACTCTATAGTTGACTCGCCTTGTACATTCATACTGATATACCTTGTACATGATACTGAAATATTCGGATTTATTAAAAAAATATATATTATTAAAATTCAATTTTTATTTTTGACACGACAAAGAATTGCAGTTTTATAAAATAAAAATTATGCACCTTTCGGATTTTTTAAAAATTTTAGAGGTTACTAGATATTTCGCAATAAACATGTAGCTGCTATATTAAAAATATTTTGTGGTGTGTTGTTGCATAATTGACTAATTTCCAAGCATCGAATGGACGAAGGAAGGAAGCGAAGGGACGAAGGAACGCGAGGAAGGGACGAAGGAGCGAAGTGTGAGTATGGGGCTTTAGCGAGTCCGATATAGAGCCGAGGCACAAAAAGTAAATTTTACTCCCAATAGAACATTCTATTTTTTTCAAACGCCACGGAAAAAGTTTTTAAACAATTTCAAACGTTCTAAATAATATAAAAAGATTTAAAAGTCATACCTTGTACGTAATTATACAGGGTGATCCGAACTGTATTCCGGAAATTTTTGGCAGCATATTCCGCACATTAAAATAAGTTAAAAAGTTCGTATAAATGTATGTCCTAAAATGCTTAGTTTCAGAGATACAGGGTGTAGAAGTCTCATTTTTATTTCGATTTTTTTCCAAATAATTTTTGAAGCAAGGTCCATATTTGTGTGAAAATGAGTTTTTTGACATGAGAAATTTGATTTTGACGTCAATATGACTCCTGCTTGTAGAGGGCGCCACCTACATATTTTTTAACTGGTTTAAATAGTAATAACTTTTTTCCGCCCCTGTATAAAACTACTGAGAAAAAGAATATACATTTACGACGTTTTTTACGTGTAAAACGTCTCTTGGTAAAAATCGTTACTACTCAACGCGTTTATTTTTTGTCAATAATGACATGTATTCACTATTTCCGTTCTAAATATATGTTCATAACGGTTGCTTGTAGCGATTTTTACCAAGAGACATTTTTTACGTAAAAAATCACCAAAATGCATATTTTTTTACTCAGTGGTTTTATACAGATACGGACGAGAAGTTATTACTCTTTAAAAGAGTTAAAACACATGTAGGTGGCGCCCTCTACAAATCGGAGCCATATTGGCATCAAAATCAAATTTCTCATATCAAAAAACTCCCAGACACTAATTTTTATTCAAATGTTGACGTTACTTCAGAAATTATTTGGAAAAAATCGAAATAAAAACGCGACTTGTATCTCCGAAACTAAGCATTTTAGGACATATATTTATACGAACTTTTTTACTTATTTTTGTCTGCAGAATATGCTGCCGGAGTTTCCAGAATACAGTTCGGACCACTCTGTATATCGAGAAACTATGGTTACATTCATTGAATTTGACACTGTCAGTTTAATAATATATTTTCGTACTTTTATGCTTAGGCGTAAAAGTGCTTTACTTTAATGCTTATGCGTTAAAATGACTTTTATATTGTAAATCACGTTGCTTTAATCGCAATTAATACTTTTTGGGCGTTTAAAAAAACGTATTTATATCTGTTAACTACTTTGAATAAGACTAAGGAAGGAGCATGATGCTATCCATGTATTCATGCATGGTGGGCGGAAAAAGCACTCTAGGGTGGGGATCCTTGACAGTTTTGTTTGACGATTCATTTGACACATTTGAATTTGATTTGAAATTTTGTGGATTTGTCAGTCTTTACGGAGCTTATTTTATGTTATTTATTATTTATTCTACTACTGATAGTTGTATAAAGGTAGTAAATCTAGATGGAAATTGTGGCAGAACTTAAATTAACAGTGACACTATCGCGATTTATCGAAAAAGGCTCTAAAATAGTTGGTGGTGTAGCGTGCTGTAGATCTCGGCAAAAATTGAGTGAAATAATGGAACAACTTTTCGCTAGTAAGTCACTATATAATATACATATACGTGTAGTAAACCGATCATTTATGAAATTCACTTAAATTAACTAAATTATATATTTTCTTGCATTTTAGCTTTTATTTATTACTTGTCAAAGATTAGATGTCAAAGAATTTAGATACTTTAATTTGACTTACCTGTTTCAGTAGCGTATCGGATGTTTGTGTTAATAAATACTTATTATAACTTATCTATTTTTATTAGAATTATATATTTTTATAACAATTTTAATAACTACCAACATTTATTCACAACGTAAAATAAAACAACAAATTATTGAGTCTTCCCTACGTCTACCCTATATCATAGTTTTACATTTTTTAGATAAAATTAGAACGACACTAACAAACCGGAATTTAAGTCGGCCATATTTGAGGCCCATCGCGGTGTACCTAAGATTTTTGATATGCTCCTTCCTTAGTCTTCTTATTCAAAGGTTAACTATAATAAAACTGCATTTAATTTTCAAAAAATCAATCACCTTCCGAATTCGCTCGCACTTTTATTTTCTACATTCATACACATAAATTTACTACGTTCATTTATATCTTGACATTTATATTATTATTTAAAGAGAACATTTAACATGTATGATATGGTTATCAAATTATTGTCATCGACCATTGATAATAGTACAACTCAAATAAGAAGTTTAAAGAAGGCGTCCATTCTTCTCAAAGAGACCTGGTTCAAATCAAAAAGAAGTATAAACAAGACTCAAGAGACCGAGACTTTGAGTCTTTTTTATACTTCTTTTCAACTAACTAACTCAGTTCATTCTTCAACCGAAATGATAAATGAAAAAATATATCTCAATTCATAACAATAACACAATTTTTTTATTGTTTCAGAAAATAAAACTGATTAGTACATCCTTCCAACACAAGATGGCATCTTCCTACAAATTGTTTATACTGCTGCTTCGGATAGCATTCGTCTTAACGCTAACCCAGTTCGTTTTAAGCGAGCAGAAATTTGCAATGGAGCCTCAAGATCAAACGGCAGTTGTCGGGTCCAGGGTAACGCTGCCTTGCAGGGTTACAGGAAAAGTCGGTACTCTCCAATGGACGAAGGACGATTTTGGACTGGGTACGCACAGAAACCTGAGTGGATTCGATCGGTATAGCATGATAGGAAGCGACGAAGAAGGTGAGTCATTAATAATATAGATAACGGTGCTTTTATATAACTGTTAACATATCGTTGGCTTTATGACGAAAAGACGTATCTCAATTTTTGCTACTTTTCAGGAGAGCAATTTAAAGAAAATTACTTGCTTTATTTGGCCAATAAATGTAAAGTCTTTAATTTTTTAATAGTCTTTTTGTATTAACACTTAAACGGAGACATTGAGAAAACGTTCTGAAGATAAATTGAGCGTAAATTCTAATAAATAATTTATTTTAGTTGTTTAATAGAGATAGGTCTTTTTGTTATAATAATAATAAATTTATTTCCGAACGAATAGTATACATACGCCCATGTAAAATAAATTTAAAAATGACGGTAATAAGAAAAAAAATGATACAATATTCACATTATGGAATACTTACAAGAAAATAGAATACATACATACAAGAAAAAATCTGGAAATCGCCAAAAAATCAGAAACAAATATTTTTAAATACTTTTATTCGCGTTGGATTAGATCAACTGAAAACAAAGACAATTTTCATGCCAGAAGTAAAGACAATAATCTATTAAAATACTCTTATCTAGCTTATTTTAATAATATTGTTTTTTATACAAAAATACATTTTTTTAACTAATATATTTTTAGTAATTTTTTTAGTTAATTGAGGGCATTAATACAGGGCATTTAAACTCACGGTCCATATAATAAAAACCAAACTAAACAAAAACAAAACATGTTTCTTCATTCGTTTTTTTATTGATACAAATAACTGTGGAGTAACAGTTTCTGTTTTCCCTGTTCAATGTTAACAAATTCGACTTTCATTCTACGTGTTTATGCTAGATGATGATAGGCACTTTGATAGGGACAATAAATAAAATTTTCCAAAAATTGGCAGGGATGACAATGACAATTGCCTGACAATGATAATGAGATGAAAGTTATTGTATTCTTCGGGCAACTTTTTGGTTCGCTAAAATGTTCTTAGGGAATTTATGATTTCGGGAAATTTTCCATTGGGGCAATTTTCGTTTCGTTGTTTTGCTTTCGGTCAATTTTTCTTCGGCCATATTTATTCTCGGACAATCTTTTGGATACCCAATACAGCTACGTACTGAGTCTAGCTCATTCTAACAATGGTTTTTGAAAAAAAAAACTCAAAATCACACTGTAAAAAAAAAGCTGCTGCCATGATAGAAGTTTTATTTTAACCCAAAAAACCATCAGAAAATAATTAGGCAGAATGGTGTGATTTTCTCTTGCATGCATTTTCATAACTTAAAACAAAAGGACTTATCTCAAATTTCATTTTTCTTGTAGTATAACAATTGGTATAATAGTTGATATAACAAAGAGCCTAAAAAAAATCTTAAAGATACTTTACTTTATACTTAATAGTTTACATTCACAATGATGTCTAAAAATACAATTAAAATTAATAGAATATCTTAGCAACATCTTTTTCAATTTAGCACTTCAAGAGTTTCAACAATTTTTTATTAAAAAATACATAAAATATACTCTGTCTAAAATTGAGTTATTGTTCTTCGTAGAAACTTCATGCGAAAACATCATGATTATTTTATATGTCAAAGAGCGAGTAAAAGTTCTATATTTTTAGAGAAAAGTCGAAATAAAATTTATACAAAATAGATTTATAGATAGTTTTTTCAGAAAAACTTTTATGAATCAACCACGATGCAATATTCTTAACAACCTCTGGTTGACTATTGATGTGATATTGAGTAAGTGTATGTTGTGTCTATTATCAGCCTAAAATATATCATTCAGAATACCATTTACGCAACTTTTTTATAAATTTTTGGAGATATTTTGTGAATTCTCAAGATTCTGCAGGTTCAGTATCCATACAGCAATACCTTTGATTAAAAAGATTATATATTTTTGGTTTGGTCCCATTTTTTGGCTTTTTTGTTTCTGGATTTTGATGCAATTTTCTGGATTTGTTTTGCGTTTCTGTGCTTATTTTATAATTTTTATTATTTATTCCACAATTAGTTGTATTTAGAGGTGGCTAGTAAATCTAGAAAGATTTGTTACGGTTCAAAATTTCACCGTAACTTATTTTACTTATTTTGCTTATTTTTAGGAATAAAACTAAAACTTACTTAAATAACTTGAATAATAACGTTTAATTAGCTTACTTCTTAACTGTGCATATAATTTCTAATAATATCTTATCTATTAAGTCTCATCATCACAACAATTTCTTTGGATGGAGTTGTCTCCGATAACTGTAATATAAAACCTCATTAATATAATACCAATTTGGCTGTTTAAAACCTACCTTTCTTTCTACAGTGGTTACTAATTTTTTATTTAGACTTATGCTTGTGTTAGGATATTTTCTTGGCATATTTCTTCGGGGGATTCTTGAACATAGATTTGATGTGATTATCTTTTGTCTGTTTTCAACGCAACAAGTGGGAATGTTGGATCTGCAATATACATATGGGTTAAGGATTTTATTATGTATTTTTCCTGTGTGTAATCAATTAGTTTTACCTGATTATAGTTGATTTTTCCCTAAATTTCATCTTGTTTATATTACGATTTACAGACTGACGTTTCAATTGTTTGTCAGCTGATCGTGTGACACCGGCGTTGAAGGTTGACAGATCGATCTTTTTAATCGGTTTTTATATCATCGGAAAATGTATTGATAATTTTCCGAAGATATTATGTTCATATATGGATTATTATAATTTTATTATGATTTAATAAAATGTTTTACTCAATTCGTATGCATTGAATAAAATTTTATGTCAAATTTTATTTTGAGTCTTTTGTTTTACTGGTTGCCAGTGTTAGACTTTGGATTGGTATCTTGGAGTCCAGCGTCTTTTGCGGTTTTTGCAAACACGCGTCCTTTTTCTTTTCGACTTTGAACCGTCTTGGTGAAAGCAGTGGAAGCCTTCTGATCTCTGCCGGAAAAAAGAAATTCTAGTGAAATTTTGTGTGATTATTCAGTAGAATTACGGTCTTGGAATTCGTTGAGGGTCGAGAAGACCGATTGGCAAGAAATTGAGCTTGGCCTGTGTAATTGGAATTCCAGGGAAAACCTTGAAAAGGGATATCTTTGTTGGTTGGGTAAGAGACTTTCCTAGGTGTAAGGTTCTCTTCTACAACTGTTTATTTTAGAGGACAGGAGCTGTAGATGGGTGTGTGGACGTACTGGGATGAGTACGAGGACAGTTAAGGATCCCTTTTCCATGGAGTAACATGCGTTGAGACGCCATTTTGTCTTGGAAGGGCCGCATGGTGGATAGGTATTTTACTATGTCCAAACTAGAACGTGTCACCGAAATAGATCATATTTTAGGGTTCTTGTTCCGTGGCCATTACTCCTTAGTGATGATTACGGTTTAGCTTAAGATTTTTACCATTTTTTTTTGTACTGCAATTAATGCCCCTGTGACGTGAATGCCACTGTGACGAGGAATGCCACTGTGACACTGAAGACCAGCAATCTGGATTTTCTCATGGACTGACTGGAACGACCACTGGATAACAGATAAGACTTTAATCATCTCTTATTTTATTGCGTTTATGATTGATTAAAATTTATTACCTTAAATATACGATCGTATGTGAACTTGGTATACCAGGGGTTTTACATTTAAATTTCATTTTATTCTTTATAGTTATTTAATCATAATCACAAATACACATCAGGGTTGTTCACAGTTTAGCCACAACAATATTTTGTGATACTATTCATGGTTTAATTTATTTTGCGGATAGTTCACTTTTACAAGAATATTTTACTAGTATATATATTTCATTAATTCTTATTTAAATATTTGCTACATTTTATGATAGATCTTGACAATTTGTTTTAACTTTAAATTTAGTATTTATTAAACATAATTATTAGTCATTTTTATAAGTATGTTGATGATATTTCATGAATATGTATAAAATATCTCTCTATAACATATATGCAGGTGCAGGATCGATTCTACACCGGTACAACGTAATAAATGTCCAATACTTTATTTTATAATATCGTGTAATCCTTAAATATACAAAATTCAATTTAAATACATTAATTCTACTATTTAATTCTAAATCTGTCTTCTGTATTCGAACGGGCGGCATTTGTAACTGCGAGATAAAGTAAATTTAACTGTAAAGTGGCGTTTGTGTATTATTTTTCGATACGCCCACTGGCGTTGGCGGCCCCGGGAATATTTTATAACATTCTGATAACGGTAATTACCCAGCTCTACATTATTTATGCGCGGCGCTGCATTAAAATATTTCCCAAGCGGCTTAAAAACATGATTGGTCGACCGGCTCCAATAATAGAGAATTTACAGCGGCATATTAATGAAAATTTGTTACCGAATTTTTCAGTTTTTCCCGTTTCGAAAGCGTCGAACCCGTCAGTGTTTTTTTGTTTGTATACGTTTCAAAAGTCGTAAAGGGTTTGATGTATGGTAAAATCTTTGTTTGTCAAAATCCCGTTATCTACCAGGATACATCGTACAAATCGTACTAACAAATATAAATAAAATAGAACAATATACAATAAAATGTTTTGTCTTTTCGTGTATACAGAATGTCTCATGTTAAACTTTCATTAGTATTTTTTTAAAGAAATAGAATATCTAATAGATAGGAGTTTTTTTTGTTGTTGTTTCATCAGAGCGTATATCGAAAACCGTTTTCCGATATCTCTAACAGATTTCGAGTTATTTGAGAAAATCTACAAAAAAAATATTTTTTTCTGTTTTTCGAAACATTTAACACCAAATATCTCTAGAACAAAAGGTGTGAATCTCAAAAACGATACCGTTTTTGTAAAGTACACATTCAGCGCTACAACATATTACGAAATAAGCAAAATCGATTTTCCAAAATTTTTCGAAAACATTCCTCGGTACCCCCCTGTCGATTTTGTCAAAAACCGAAATCTCTCAGATCGCAACTAAAATATACCCACTGATAGTTCATTTTATGTAGAATTGAATGCTGAAAATCGTTTTCC